GAACAAGTCGGTGCACTTCACACGGCAGTGCGCTGCCTCCATCAAACCGTCAGTCATTCAGTCTGCATCGCTCCAATGGTCAACGATAAACATACGGTAGGTCGCAAAGAAACGAAGGCACAGCGCCAGCAAACGAGACCGAGGCCTCACCAGCGTTCTGTAAGTGACCGTTCTGGCGGCTATATCCTCGAAGTGTAGAACTGTTCGTTTCTAACCTCTGTCAGGAATGGGCGACAGGACTATAGCGAACATTACTTCGAACTGTCACCCTTACTCGGTGGCGGAATTGACTGAAATTCATGGTCGGTGAGTCGCAACTCGACCTCGAAATTCAACAGCCAACCGCTTAAGAACAACGGAAAATGTGGGCGTTCGCAGGGAGGTTATCAGTAGACTCTGAAGAGGTACAAGACTTGTGCCACAGCGGCGCTTCCTAAGGTCATATCGACAAGCTGCCGGTCGCTCGCCGACAAGTGGACAGGCTTGCACGGCAGCTACATGGAAATGACCTGGAGTGACCGGCGATGGTCATGTGCCAAAATCGAGGCTCAGCAATGGTGAACCTACCGAGATGGCGGCCATTAGCCGCTACAACTAATTCCAGGTTGACCGAACGGACAGCAACAAATCGTGAACAGGCGGTCATCACACGAATACACAACGAATGCTGTACTGCGTGTGTATCCGCTTCTGTAAAGTGCACCTTCTCGAACAACGGTATCGAATGCTCAACGGTTGGATGCAGCCCACGATTAATCACCGATTTCTAGCAAGTCCTCGTTATTAACGCGCAGGTTGCTGTCGTCACTTCGCTCGTCGTACTTACAGCATATATGTACATCTTTTCACTATGCAATTTCACATGCATTTAGCCAGATCGGATCGGAGAGGGCGAGTGATGATTGTTTGAGTCACGAAAAATTAACCGCGGAAACAGTGGCGTTTAAGGTGCTCGGTGTCGTTGACTTAACCCGTCGTTACTAGTACGGACAATTGTGACTCCGGAGCACGCTTCTTCATAAAAGTCTGAAATCTACCACGAGCGACGTCGCGATGCCTTGAGTTCGGCTGATCACTGCATCGTCAAAACGATGCATTTTGTTTTCCCGAAGCGAGCAATGGAAATCTTTCGGCGTGTTCAGCATTTATCGAGCGATATATGCGTATTTTCTACGACACAACTCTCTCGCGTCCCCGGTTTGAACTTTTCACGCTGACTGGTCTGTCCTGAGGGACCCCGACACCGACGCCCAACGTTCCTATGGAACGCAGTGACGCAGAATGCCAATTTCGTCTTAGGCTAGTGCTTCCAGAAAAAAGATCCTCCTTGTCTGTTGGCATCATTCATCTGACCTCTTGAAGCAGTTAAAAACAAGGAGGGAAAAGGCGTACCTAAAAAATGACTAAGTGGAATGCGCTGAAGTGGCAGTCTCCAATTTGGCAGTAATTCGCGCTGAAGCCCGTCTCTAAGACGTTAGTCACTTTTCCAAGCTGAGCTTAACGCATATTCATGAACCGTCGCAAGAACTGAAAGGACTGTAGAGTAACATGAATGAAATTTCGCCCTCGTTTGCCCTAAGCCAAT